TATGAAAAAAATTAATAGAGCATTAACTAAAAACAAATAATTATTGCATTTTAGGTAACATAAAAATTGTCTTCATTTTCTTACTAAATGTAGTAGCCTAATGGTATGCTGCAGCCAGTTCATACAGGCTCAGGAGAGCCCACTGTTAACATCTCTTCCCAATGTCATATTCAGTGACATCACCTTAGTAGCCTGAAATCAGCAATGATGGGAGTATTTCTACCATGGGAATCAGAAAATGCTATAAATCAGAGATTTTTTTCCCCCAAGAGCCAGTGGTTAAACATTTACCAGCACCACTAACTGGTGCTTAGATTCCAAAAAAAGTAGATTTTGATTGCCTTTCAAGGACTTTCCTCTAGTTTCCCAAACTATAAGTTTCTCAATTGCCGTATCTCATAACCTGCATATTGTTTCTATGACATTAGTTGGAGTTTGGAGTTGGAAAAGTCCAGATGAATTTCCTTCATTTACTGAGCTCAGAAGCCACCCATATCATCACCATTCACTGTCTAAACACCCCAAAGTGGTCAAGTGCACAAACAAGTGGCCCAGGCTCACCTATTGGTTTCAGGGGATGGAATGGCCAATTTTTTGAAGAAAACACTCTGCTTGAACCTAAAGTGCTTTCAGATGACTGCAAGGTAAGAAAATCGTACTTTTAGAATTGTTTGATATGACTAAAAATTGATAAAATTATAAAATTAAGATAATTAGAGTAAGACTTTATTTACAAACTGCAGATACAGAATGGTAGAAAGGGGTATGGGGAGTTTGTTTTAGTTTTTGTTTTTTATAATCACCATCTGTAAGTAAGGTAGTAGGTTTTAATGTGCCTACTTGTAAACCATACATTTTTCAGAATCTATCATTTGTTTGTATCATATCTTGTCAACTTCTGTCATACCAATTGATCATAGATTTTTACATGCAAAACAGGTGTTAATACATAAATTTAATTTATATTCCCCATATGAAATAATTATATCATACCTGGATGGATGGATAGATAATCAGAGCATATACATAAATAGATTTATTTCATGTATTTTCAATGCTGTAATTTTAATCTCATTATTGCATGGAAGACAAGTTATAGAGGTCAGTTTTGTTTCATTTTGTCAGTTCCTGTACCTGATGCCAAATATGGGTATCATTGCAGATTGACTGGCCCTAGTAATCAATATTTGAAATGTAGTCCAATTTTTTCATTAAAATTCAATAATGAATGTTATAAAAAAATTAACAATTTTAAAACATTGTTTCATAGAGCACATGTTGGCAAAATACAGTCAGCAGACCCACCACCTGTTTTGGTAGATAAATTTTTATTGTGACACAGCCAAACTTATTCATTTACTTATTATCTATTGCTGTTATCAGACTACAAAGGCAGATTGGAGTAGATGTGACAAAGACCATATGGCCCCCAAAATCTAAAATATTTACCATCTGGCTCTTTGGAGAAGAGTTTGCTGACCCCTGTTATAGAGAGTAGAGTTGTCTACTCTATGTATATATCACTAATTACTTTAAATAATTTATGGCTTAAATTTACTGTTTAAATAATCTTTAAGGTTCCTTCAAATTTTGAAATTCCTATCATAATAATTCTGTGAATGAGTAAGTGAATTAACTACTGAATAAAACTCTACAAAACTAGTCAATTGTGGTTCTCCGTTGTGTCTTCTTGAATCTTAATCTTAGGACATTTTGTGATATGTTTTTGTTCCATAGACTTTATTAGAAACAAAGGAGCATATATTAATAAAAGAAACAGAAAGGCCTACAAAGAGAAAAAAATGTAAATGGAGAGCCACCAAATGGAAAATAAGAAAACTAAAAGATGATTGAACATATTATAATTTTAACTATTTCTGACTGAGGCGATTCTAGTTATATCCTACCTAAAATACAGAGGTTTAAATAGCTCATTTCCTTTTATCCAAGAAAAATACCCATCCTGAAGAATAGGTCCCAAATGAAAGAACAGATGGGACAGATGGGAGAGAATAGAACAGTATGACATGTATTAGGAATAGTGCAGCCTTTTAATTCATATCTGTCCAGTGATCCACAGACAATTGAAGTAGAAGCCTGGTTTTAGCTTCTGGAAGCAAAAAATTAGAATATAAAATGCCATTATAGAGAAAAGAATAAGCCCAATATTTTCAATTAATAATAGTAATTATTAGCATTTATTGAGCATTGTTCTAAGCGCTTTCCATTCATTATCTCTAATCCTTAACACATTGCCACACAAAAAAACAGAAACTTTTCCTTGGGGCCAGTGTTTTATTACAGAAATAGAATAAAACTTTGAGTGTAATTTAAAGGTAAACATAAATAGAAAAACGAAATTTATTGACTTCTATTCATTTAATCCACATTTTTAGAACTAAATTATCAATATTAATTGTAATAAGAAAATCGACAAGTAAGATTTTATATGTGCCTCACACAGCCCTAGGGTCAAAACTAGGGTGAGTTAAATACAACTCTCCTGTCAGTAAATGTGTAAAAATAAGCCTACGTTGTTTATGAAGGGCATTGTCTGCTGACAATGACTACTAATGAAATACATATGTTTTGTTCTTATTTTACAGATTCAAGATGGCAGCTGGCATAAGACAACATTTCTTTTTCACACCCAGGAGCCTAACCAACTTCCAGTGATTGAAGTACGAAAACTTCCTCATCTCAAAACCGAACAGAAATATTACATTGAAAGCAGTTCTGTGTGCTTTCTTTAAAGTTTCTGAATTAGTTCAGAATTCACGCTGTTGGCCAGGTAATTGCTGAAGAGGGAAAAACGTAGGCAGAAAGATACTGTCATTATGAAACACATGGAATAAAGCATTGGCTAAATCTTAAAGAATCTCAGGAAGAAAAGACTTCCTCCTAAGAAGGAGAAAAGGCATTTTTCAAAGGACTATGATTGATAAAGTATTTAATTCTTTTAAAAATTATATGGATTTCAGCTTTCTTAGAGAATTCCCTAGAACTGAAAATTTATAAATATGGAATTCTTCAGGGTTTCCTATATTTTTTGACTGTTTGAGAGCAAAGTACCCATTAGACAGCTGGAGACGCAGAGCACTGTGGAGCAATACTGGCTAATGCTCCCAAATGTGCAATGCTTCTGTCTAAAAATTACAAGCCACAGTCTAATATGTCTTATTTTCCAAAACACTAAGTTGTATTCAGGTCCCCAGTGGGATATACATCTTAGCCAGTGGTACACTACCTCTTACGTGTTGCCTTTTTGTGTTGCTTGGTGCTCTTTCTAAAACAAGGTGCTTATGGCTTTCGTAGACTATTTTATTTCTTTTTTCATCTTTGTCCTTCTTTAAGAGTGTATGTACTGGTTACATCAAGATATGTTTTGGTTGTTAGTACTTATTTTAATTTTTTTGGTCACATACTTAATAACAAGTAAAACTATTTATGTGAAGTCCTTGTTTTATTTTAAAATTCTCTTTGTGTGTATGGAATCAAAGCCAGCACATTGTAACCTATGCTTGTACACAAAAGAATTGGGAGGTTTCTTTTTGTTTTTGTTTTATTTTTTAAATTGTTGTAAAAATTATTATAGGCCAGCTACATCCAGTAGTAGGTTTGGGTTAGAGACTAGGAGTTGTGATATACTGTTTTGAAAATCCATGATCATCTGGAATGATACTTTGTATATATATATTTTGTAAAGTTTTAATTTAGCAAATCTTTTGAAATGCTGCTGCTGTTTTAAATTATAAAAACTTTATATTTCTGCTTATACCTCTTGGTATATAGAAAAGCTTGTTCATCCATTATAAACATATCTTTAGCCACAACAAACTACACTTACCTATCTATAATAAAAATGTAGCTGTAAATCATTTTTGGTGGTATTTTTTTCTTCTTTTGTTACAATATGCTTTTATTATATGTGATAGCCCCTCTGGCAAAGCCATTCTGTGCTATTATGTATATTTGCATTATTAGATAATATCTGTTATAGGCCTACAAAAGGATTATAGGGCCTATTTCCTGTTTTTACAAAATAAGGGCATGATCCAGAAATAACCCCTCACATATATGGTCAAATTATTTTCAATAAGGGTGCCAATGCTATTCAGTGGGGAAAGGACAGTCTTTTCAAAAAATGGTTCTGGGAAAACTGGATATCCACATGTAAAAAGAATGATGTTAGACCCTTACCTGAAGTAACTCAAAATGGGATCAAAGACCTAAACAATGGGCTAAAACTATAAAACTCTTAGAAGAACACATAGGAGAAAGTCTTCATGACATTGGCTTTGGCAGTCATTTCTTAGAATGGTACAAAAAGCACAGTCAACAAGAAAAAATTACATAAAGTGGACTCCATAAAAATAAATGTCTGTGCATCAAAGAAAACTATCAAGAAAGTGAAGAAGCAACCCATAGAATGGGAAAAAATATTGACAAATCATATATCTGATAAAGGATTAATATCCAGAATATATAAAGAACTCCTACAACTCAACAACAAAAAACAAGCAAACCAATTTTAAAAATAGGCAAAGGAGTTGAATAGACATTTCTCCAAAGAAGACAGATGTCCAATGAAGGAAAAGATACTCAAAATCAATGGTTATTAGGGAAATGCAAATCAAAACCATAAGGAGGTACCAATTCTGTGTTATAATACAAAAATCTATTTGGTCATTGTCCCTTTTCCTGGCATACAGCTCCTCAAACCCTTGACATTTCTGAGTGAAAGGAGTATCTTTTATTATTTATGATGAGCCCTTTTCAATCACATCTGACCATTCTAATAAGGGTTTTTAGGGTGAGACCCCTAAAGAGCCTCAGGATGGAGTTCATCACCAGAAAGATTAAGTGATCAGAGGGTTGGGAATTTTAGCTCCACCTATTGACCTCTGGGAACAGGGAAGAAGAGGTCCTGGATATTGAGCTCTATAAAAACACTTGAACACTGAGATTCAGAGAGCTTTCCAGTTGGTGAACACACTGACCTGCTGGGAAGGTGACACACCCTGGTCGGACGTGGAAGCTCTGCACCACACCCCTATGCTTTGTCCAATGCATCTCGTCCAGTTGGCTGTTCCTGTGTTGTATCCTTTATAAAAAAAAAATAATAATACGTATTTTCCTGAGTTCTGTGAGCATTGTAGCAAATTGTTGAACATGTGGAGGGGTCCTGGGAATCCTCCATTTATAATTGGTTGGTCAGAATTACAAGCAGCCTGGGACTTGCAGTTGGCATCTGAAGAAGAAGACTTGAAAAGGAGACTGAACCCATTTTATCTATGGGATCTGACCCTAACTTCAGGTAGTGTCAGAATTGAATTTAATTGTTAGACATCCAAGATGGTGTCTGGAGAATTGGAGAATTAGTTATTCCTGTTGGAAAACACCCCAGAACTTCACACCCATTAGGATGGCTATTACAAAAAAAAATAAAAGGAAAATAAGTGTTCTCAAGGGTGTGGAGAAATTGAATAGTGAATAGGCTTGTGAATAGTTGGTGGGCATGTAAAATGGTACAGCCAAGGTGGAAAATAGTTTGTTGGTTCCTTAAAAAGTTAAGTATGTATTCTTTCTGATCTTGGATTTAAAAAAAAAAAAAGTTAAAAATATATGTATTGTTTTTTAAAAGGTAAATATAGAATTATCATATCATCCAGCAATTCTACTTCTAGGCATATACCCCAAAGAATTGAAAGCAGGGACTCAAACAGGTATTTGTACACCAAAGTTCATAGAAGCATTATTCACAATAGCTAAAACCTGTAGAAACCTAAAGGTTGATCAAAAGATGAATAGATAAAATGTAATATATACATACAATATTATTAAGGCTTAAAAAGGAATGAAATTCTGATATATATCACAACACAGATGAACCTTGAAAACATTATGCTATGTTAAATAAGCCAGACACAAAAAGACAAATATTATACAATTCCACTTAAATGAAATACCAAGAATAGACAAATTCATACAGAGAGTTTAACAGAGGATACCAGAGGCTGGAGGAAGTGGAAATGAGGTAGGAATTATTTTTGATATGTATACAGTATCTGTTTGGGATGATGACAAAGTTCTGGAGATGGTTGCACAATAATATAAATATACTTAATGCTAATGAATAGTATACTTAAAAATGATTAAGATGGTCAATTTTATGTTATGTACGTTTTATCACAATTTTTTTTTTTTTTGAGACAGAGTCTCGCTTTGTTGCCCAGGCTAGAGTGAGTGCCGTGGCGTCAGCCTAGCTCACAGCAGCCTCAAACTCCTGGGCTCAAGGGATCCTTCTGCCTCAGCCTCCTGAGTAGCTGGGACTACAGGCATGCGCCACCATGCCCGGCTAATTTTTTTCTATATATATATTAGTTGGCCAATTAATTTCTTTCTATTTATAGTAGAAATGGGGTCTCACTCTTGCTCAGGCTGGTTTTGAACTCCTGACCTCCAGCAATCCGCCCGCCTCAGCCTCCCAGAGTGCTAGGATTACAGGTGTGAGCCACCGCGCCCGGCCTTTATCACAATTTTTAAAATGGAGTTATGACAAAGATGTCTTTTCCTGTTTAGGGAAGATAGAAATGTTTTTAAAAAGGAACACAGAGGTTGATTATAAATTTAAAAAACTATATCTTATCATCTAGTTTCAGTCTACATGCTATATATATTCTGCTCCAAAAAAATAATAATAATAACTTAGTTCAGAAACATAAATTATTTTTCTAGAGACCATTTAAGAATATATTGGTAAGTTTTTTATTTTTGTCTGCTTGTCCTATCAATTACATGAGAAAAGTGTGTTAAAATCTGCAACTCAGATTGCATATTTGCCTGCTTCTCCTTTTGGTTCCCACTGTTTTGCTTTATTCATGTAATCAGTTGCATTCAAATTTACAATTGGTATTTCCAGTGGTGTGCTGGTAAATGTTCAACCAGTTCTCCAAGAGAGAAGACACAATCCCTAATTTATAGCATTTGGCCATTTGCATGGTGTAAATACTTATTCCATGGTCAATTTCAAGCTACAAGTTATTACTGAACATAGACACAGGAAGAGGTACACACAGTGGCTCTAACAGGCAAGTTCAAGTTGCCTCTATCATACCACTGGTTATATCATCCTGTTAGATTGATTACCATTATGAAATATCTTTTTTATCTCTAGTACTTCTTATTGCCTTAATGTTTATTATGTCTATTATTAATATAATTATACCAGCTTTCTTTTGGTTAGTGTCTGCATGGTATATGTTTGTCCATCTTTTTATTCTTAACTTTTCTGCATCCTTTTATTTAGTTGTATCGCTTATAAGCAGCATAGAGTTGTATTTTTATTTTTAATCCAGTTTGACAATTTCAGACTGTTATTTAGAGTAATTAGCCTGTTTTCATTTAATGTAATTACTGCTATATTTGCATTCAAACCTATATTACTATTATTTTGTATTTGTCTCATCTGTAATTTGTTTCTTTTTCCCCCTTTCTTGCTCTCCTCTGGATTGGTAAAAATTTTTATTATGCCATTTTCCTCTTCTCGCTATTATACATTATTATACACTTTTTTATTTTCTTTTAGTGGCTACACTAGAGACTACAGTAAATATCCCTGACTTTGTAGAGGTTATATAAATTAATACTTCTCCACTTTTCAGAAAACAAAAGAAACACCACTTAAATTTCACTTATCTCTCTCTCTGATATTTTGGGGCATTATTCTCATGTATTTTTATTGTGCATATACTTAAAACCCTACAGGATATTGTTAGTTATTAATATTTTAACTGGAAATATTCATTTAATTTTGTCCACCTATTTATGCTTTTCTGTACTTAAAAAATTCTAATATATTTTATTGATATATAATAGTCATACATATTTTGGGGCACATGTAATATTTTGATACATGTATACAATATGTCATGATTAAATCAGGTAATTGGGATATCCATCACCTCAAATATTTGTCTTTTCTTTGTGTTAGGAACAACTATTCTAGCTATTTTTAAATATACAAAAAATTATTGTTAACTATAATTTTCCTACTGAACAATTAAATACTAGAACTTATTTCTTGTATCTGACTATATTTTTGTACCCGTTAACCAACTTCTCTTCATCCTTTCCTCTTCCTTCCCCTTCCCAAGCTGTGGTAACAGCCATTCTACTCTCTACTCCCATGAGATCTACTTTTTTTAGCTCCCACATATGAGTGAAAGTATGTGATATTTGTGTTTTTGTGCCTGGCTTATTTCACTTAACAAAATGTCCTCCAGTTCCATCTATGTTGCTGCAAATGACAGGATTTCATTCCTTTTTATGGCCAAATAGTATCCCATTGAGAGTATATGTGTGTGTGTATGTGTATGATATATATATATATCAACAGTTGGTAAGTATATAGGTTGATTCCATTATCTTTGCAATTGTGAATTGTGCTGCAATAAACATTTGGGTGCAGGTGTTTGTTTTGAGACAGTGTCTCACTCTGTCGCCTGGGTTATCCCTGGGCTCAAGCAATCCTCCTGCCTCAGCCTCTCGAGTAGTTGGGGCTACAGATGCATGCCACCATGCCTGGCTAATTTTTTGTAGAGATGGAGTCTGGCTCTTGCTCAGGCTGGTCTCAAACTCCAGGCCTCAGGCAATCCTCCCACCTCAGCCTCCTAAAGTGCTAGAATTATAGGTGTGAGCCAACTGTGCCTGGCTGCAGGTGTCTTTTTTTTATAAAATGACCTTCTTTTCCTTTGGGTAGATAGCCAGTAGTAGGATTACTAGATCATATGTTAGTTCTATTTTTAGTCTTTTAAGGAACCTCCATACTCTTTTCCATAATGGCTATACTACTTTATACTCCCCCAGGAACAGTGTATGAATGTTTCCCTTTCTCTGCATTCTTGCCAGCATTTGTTAATTTTTGTCTTTTCAATAATAGCCATTCTAACTGGAGTGAGATTTTATTGTGGTTTTGATTTGCACATTTCCTTTTGATTAGTGATGTTGAACATACTTACAATATACAAATTGGCCATTTGCATGTCTTCTTTTGAAAAATTGTTTAGATCTTTTGCCCATGTTTTAATCAGATTACTTTTTTTTTAGCTATGGAGTTGAGCTCTTTATGTATTTTGATTATTAATCCTTTGTCAGATGGATCATTTGCAAATATTTTCTCCCATTCTGTGAATAGTCTCTTTACTTTGTTGATTGTTTCCTTTGCTATGGGGAAGTTTTTTAGCTGGTTGTAATCCCATTTGTTTATCTTTTGCTTTTGTTGCCTGTGCTTTGACAGTCTTACTGCCCCCCCCCCAATCTATGCTTTTTTTTCTTTCCTTCATTATGATGCTTTCATCTAGGATACTTTGCCTTATTCTGGTGAACCCCTTTAAGTACTTTTAATGTGGACCTTCTGGTGACAAATTCTCTTCATTTTTCATTTATCTGAAAACTCTTCCTTTTGTAGGACATTTTCACTGGGAATAGAATTGCAGATTGTCATTTATTTTCTTTTAAAGATGTTAATATTTTGTCCTCTACCTTCCATAATTTCTGTTGAAATATCATCTTTAAGTTTTATTTTTGTTAATTTGAGGACATTGGGTCTTTTTTCTCTGAAGATTTATTTTGTTTTTGGTTTTAAACAGTTTTATTACCACATGCTTAGAGTAGATTTCTGTGTAATTATTTGCTTGGCATTCAAAGTCCTTTTTGAATCTATGATTTAATCTCTCTGGTAAACTTTATAAAATTTTTCCCCAGGGTTTTGTCAAATATTATTACTGCCAATTCTATTGTTCTCTACTTCTGGAAATTTTATACACATACTTTAGACATATTTACTTTGTCACAAATATCTCTTATGCTCTTCTCTGTCCTTTTCATGTGTTTTCCCCTTATGCTTCAGTTTATCATTTTTTATTGTTCCTGATTTAATTTTCAGTTCACTAACCCTATTTTTGCTGTGTCTCATATGCTGTTAAACTCACTTTTGAGTTCTTAATGTTAGATAGTATAATTTTTTAATTCTTATGTCTTCATGTCATTTTTTATGGAAATCTTCCATCTTATTTATCACTTACTGAGCATAATAATCACAGC